GGTTTTGGGGCTGTTTTGAAAATTCATTAAAAATATCAAATCAAATCCAAAAATAGTGAAACTTTGGGGAAAGTTTCTAAATGATGAAATAAACATGTTTGAAGAGGAATTTTTAGAAAATCAATTTTCGTTTGTGAAAACTCCCTGTTTTTGAAAAGTTTTCAAAAAACCTGTTTTTCGTGAATATGAAAATTGACATGAAGCTTGTAAATATGTATATATATATTGAGCATGTATTATATGTATATAATGAAGTATGAAAGAGCTGTAAAAATGAGATAAAAGTTATTGTAACAACGTTTGATGAAAAATCATTTATATGATAGAAAAAACGTCAAAAATCGTGTTAAGTGTACATATATTGAGCTTAGATATAATCATACAATATATGTAAGTAAACCAAACATATACCTAGGTAAATCCACACATATGAACTTGAATCTTTAACGCTTGATTGACGTGTGTTGAAATACCTGAAAAGAGAAACATAAACACAAAAACTAGAGAATATATTAGCGATAAATTGTTTGACAAATCATCATCAAAACTATAGGGTCAACAATCTCCCCCTTTTTGATGATGGCAAACAATTTATACATGAATATGAATTATAAACAGATAACCCACATATAAGCCAAACATGAATAAATCATACATGAATATCATAAACCATATATGAATTTGTAAACCATATGTGGATTTTTCTCCCCCTTTGACAACATCAAAAAGGGAAAAAGAAACAAATTAGGAGCAACGCTCCCCCTGCATATAAGCACAGATAATAAAAATGTATACCAAAAGCTCCCCCTGTCAAATTGAATAAATGACATCTATTGAACAAATATAGGAGCTAAACAACAATTATCCATCAAAAATAATCATAAACAGTATATAAATCAAGGAACTCATCATTAGCAACTTATATTCCACAAACAAAACATGAACATTGTTTCAACCATGCATTGATCACAGAAAAGATAAACTAACATAATAAGCTAGAGAATATATTAGCGATAAATTGTTTGACAAATCATCATCAAAACTATAGGGTCAACAATCTCCCCCTTTTTGATGATGGCAAACAATTTATACATGAATATGAAATATAAACTGA